GTTGGGTGCGTAATGGCCATGCTTCATGACAAACTGTGCATTGATATATGCAGTATTGCATAAACTTGTGAAATTTCTTTATCATTTCTTCTGGCACTTTTTGTTCATGAAGAGTGTCATTCATTTTAACATCAAAAGGCATTGCTTTGTCATGTAAAAAATCCTGGTTGTCAACTAAATCATTTGCAATCTCTGCCTTCTCAGAGTTGCACTTAGTATTATCCATGTCCAATATATTATAAAAACCAAGTAGGAAGTGTTCTCTATTGTTCAAAAGGGGATTCTTAACTGCACCTTCTACTTTTTCCTCTGTAAAACTACATGCCTTATAATCAACAGTATTTGCTTGGCTAAATGTGATGGAACTTTGCATTGTTTTGTTATTAAAGGCATTTGATTTGCAGTTTGAGCTGCCCAAATTTTCTTGTTTGGAAGCAAAAGTTCTTGGTTCTTCGTTTTGTATTTCAGGGTCAAATTCAACATTTTGAACATCGTCATTGTTTAACTCAAAGCAGCCAGGGTTACTGCCTGGAGATTCAACAGTTTCCACATTTTTAATAATTGGTGTATTCTCGATATTTTTTGCATCCTGTGATTGATACAGAACATAGTGAGTTCTGTTTTTCATAGAATTATCACCTGCGACACTTTTTTCAAGCTCTTGCTGCGGGGCTGCTACACCTTTTTCAAATTTTTCTTTCCTCTGGCTTCTGGTTTGAAAATTTCTTGAAGAAGGGGTTTCAATATTGGTTTCCCTCCTAAGTTCTTAATCACTATCATCTCAATTCTATTAGTGCAACTACTTACCATTCAGTTCAAATACTGCAAAAAACCATCCACCTGGAATGTGTCTTTGCATGGCTTCCAAGCTGGGATATTCTCCTACAGTTTGAAGGAGATCATCAAAGTATAACCATTAAATTTTCTGGTCATTAACAATACCTCATGTAAAATGAGATTGATAACAACGAACTAAACTTTTCAAATTATACCAACAATTACCAACTTCAATCTTGTCATACATTATTAGGTCCACTAATGCTTCTGGAGCAAATTCAATGAAAAGAAACTTTGAGTTAACTACAGATGTTGCCAAAGGTTCATCTATCCAAGATCTACAATGACCACACCTTAATTTTCCAGGCTGAGTATGAATACTTGAGACATACAAAGGGCATGAAATTTTATGATACCTAAACTTTTCCAACCCAGACTGTGACACGTAAGTCAAAAATATGTTACTGCTGAGGTTAATATTTTTGTTACAGGTTGGACAATAACTCTCAAACAAGCTCTGTGTTGCAAAGAGACTGACCTCGTCAGGATTTAGTTTTCCAAAAGTTTTCTCTTCAAAAATTTGACTGAAACTTGTATTACAATCCTTAGCCTGAAACAAGCTACAACGTTCTCTTAGATAAGACCACACAAGTTCTCGTATACCAGCCAAAAGGCTTGGATTTCCACCCTGATTTTGATAGTCTGACGCAGCAGTGAACAACACTGCTCTGGAAATTGACTTCGAGCACTTAATCTCGACAAAACTGGCAGAAGAAAATATGTAGACACTTCTAGAAAGCAGTCTATTGCACAAGAATAAACCCCAGGTTGAACAAACACAGAATTCATAAAATGACTCTTTTTAAGTTTGTAGTGTATTTTTCTGAATTATGTCGAATTCATTATAATTGTCACATCTGTTTGTCAAACAATGGGCCATTCCATTTAAAATCCGCACCCCTCTAAAGGAAGCACATCAAACATGGATCCTTACCTTATATGTAATGACTTTAACAGCTTTCACAGCTTTCACAACGACGTCTGAGTTCCCAGGAATGTACAGCAAAATATTTCGTTAAAAGAGGTATAAACTCAACACGCGATCACACTTCAAACTTGCTCCGTACTAAGCAATAAGATCTGCTGATACGCCCAAAGGACTGTAGCAACTACTACGTTTGATGTTCGCTTGTTTGTTTTCAGTAAATCTTTCGTGTTTGTGGATTGAGTCTTTCAATCCTCTCAGTGATTTGTGTCTAACAGATCGAAATGGCCTCCAGTGTCATAAATGTCACGAACGCGTCATGACGCCTCCAGTGTCATGAACGCGTGACTGACAAGTTTTTCAACTTATAGTACGCTTACCAAGCGTCTCTCGATCCTAGATTTCGGATAAACACGAATCTTATGCTTTCGTTGTCGAATAACAGCGCTTTCTCAAATACATACATATATATAAGTCCAGTTTTTCTTACCTTAAAATCAGTTGCTCCTCAGAGTGACAACCGCAAGAACAGACGACGTGATGCGACCACAGGCTTACCATCTTAATTATCTGTGGTTTCGGGTTTCTATGGTTTTGGGGTCATGTGCCGTTATTATATATTGCCTCTAGAATCTGTCCCTAGTGGTCAGTCTTCAAAAAAAAACTCAGCTCCGAATAAAGATTAATGGTTTATTACTTGTTTGGAAGTGTTTTTTTCTGCCAGAAAGCCTCAAAATTTCTCGTTTGGGGCTTTTCAAAGTTCGGCGGTTAATTCGGCTCGCTCTCCCTAGTGAAGAAATGTGACAAGGCAGGCAGCTTAGGCCTGCCAGATTCCACACCACCTCGTATTCGAGACAAAAATGTTTTACCTTCTAGGTCTTATTTTGCCACCGAAATTCAACAGGCCACAGAAGGATTATCCAGCTGCTACGGTGACTCGGTTTTGAATCATTCCATTCAACCTACGAGAAAAGGGAACGTAAAGTCGTAGATTTGGAGCTCTTCTAGGGATCCGGAGACAGGGCATATGGTGGTATTTCGTAGAATGGACTGGACTGGACTGGACTAGAAAAACGAGGACTAGTAAAACAGGGACTAGTAACACGCGGACTAGAAAAACGCGGACTTGTAAAACGCGGACCTGATTTTTTTCATGTTTTTCCGTGTTTGTAAATCGAATAAAACTTAATGGTAACGGACTTAACAAAAAAAACAACAACAAAAAAAGCAATTTCATACGAAGGCGATCAAAAGACTTAATGGCGAGCCAATTGTAAAATTTTTGTCCATTTGATATTATACCAATTCATTAGTGAGTGACAATCCCTGTTTGACCTTTAAGCTACAAATGGGTTTGACATGCGCCAGATACAGACGATTTTAAAAGTTTAGGCTAAGAAATAATTTTATTCAGCACCAGTTCAAAATCCTAAAATACACTTTCGTCATAACACTTAATGGCAAGCCAATTTAGTAAGTGACAATCCCTGTTTGACTTTTAAGCTGCAAAGGGGTTTGACATGCGCCAGATACAGACGAATTTATAAGTTTAGGCTAACAAAGAATTTTATTCAGCACCAGTTCAAAATCCTAGAATACACTTTCGTCGTAAATTTCACGGCAGAAACGCAGGAGTTCGATGAATAAAAGTCGCAAAGATTTACCTCTGTTCCGTTTTAAAATGTCACAGAAAGTCAAATTGTAAGTGAATGCAAATAGGTGTTTTGGAGTTGTCAGTCTGCTTGTTTGTTTTCTGTAATGGCGTGTGTAAATCGGTGTTTCTTCCACCGAAAAGCTGAAGTCAATGAGA